ATAATTCGCTTGCGCGTAGGGGTCTTTTGCAGTGGTAGGGAACCGGAGAACACGGAGAAAACCCACGGGGTTGGACAGGCGACCCTACTTGATTCAATGACAGACCTTCTGACCAAACGCGCGCGCGTTAACCATTCGCCCCCATCCCCCATTACCATAGGAATGAACGTGAAATGAAATGGGGTTTAACGCCCTACTTTTCTGCTCCGACTGGACTAATTAAGACGGGCATACACAATGCAGTGAGCTATAAGGTATATCGAATTCCAAGGGATCTTTTACGTGCACACGGGACCTCGGTTTGTCGTTGGATTGCCATGGAGAACGAAACACTGAGTTGACGAATCTCTCACCTATGACTTAATCTATGCTAATTGTGTCTGTCTGTTCAGGGTTGGTGGCTACACTTGGGCTGTCCCGAGGATGCAATTTGGTGTATAGGGGTACTCGGACCAGGGCTCGGACCAGGGCTAGTGGCGACGGACTATCATTTCCGATTTCTGCGATATGCTACCTCCGGTTCATGGCTACCCGTGCTATGCCGGGTCAACCGCTAGTAAGATTTATTTTGAATGCTATAATATATTTAGAAAACCAAGCATACTATAGTTACATCGAGTATTCAATCACCGATCTACTGTTTTGCACGGGCGTTCGTGAAACTTCGTGAAAACCACTTAACAATTCGAATAGTAAGCTAGAACCTGCATATCGCAGCAACCCTCCCCCCCCCCGTCCATCAGGACCTTGTTAATTCTTTGAATTTGAAAAATGGTTTTAGATAGTTATTTGGGGCTAGAAAAAAACGGGTTCCAAAAAGTATCGACACAGAATTACCAGATTTATTTACCAAATCAATCTATTTTATGTTGTTTTAGCTTTAAAAGTAGAATAGTATCTTTAATACAATCCACGGCATTACTATATATAATATACGTCTTGTACAGATTTGAATATCCAGCTTAATTGACAGTTTCTATAGGAAGCGATTATAGTTTCTATGGTATTACCTTCTCTAACATCATAATTATGAGACTAATAAACCGACGCTACTTCCTGTAATTTAGGGAATCTTCAACGCCAAGAGAAATAATTATTATTATTATAGATATCTTCTAGAACTACATTAGGTAGATATATTTCTATAATTTAGACTTCACATACATTGTTCTGGTTTTGTTTTTCTTTCATACAAAATTTGCATTTGAATTTAAAACATAGCCTTATATGGCAACGACATAGCCTGTGCCACTCAGCAGTGTTTTGAAGAGTGTCTTTCCAATTTCCAATCCTAGGGGCAATATTTACGCATAGATTTGATGTGCTTTTCAAACAATTCTACCAAGTTTGAAAACAAAATCTTGAAACCTATGATCTGTAGGGCGTTGACATGGGAGATAACTCTGTAAAGAATGGCTGCTCGGCTCTGAATTTCGATATCCGAATATGCAGAGCAGGTATGAAAACAGTCTCAAAATCTGTAGAGGGGGCGTACAAACCAACGGACCGACAGACAGACATATACGATGACGACAATATAGGTTACTTCCACATAACAAACTAGTAGGAGCGTACTATATATGCACCAGGATCCAAGCGTCTCATCGTGTCAGCCATCTTTGAATTGTGACGTAATATAAATAAAGGATAGGAATATATTAGAATAAAACTACGCTCATAAAATAATGATTGGAAACCGTCACGTAATAAACCATGTAAATCTTAATAATAGGCTATATATGGTATATTGGTAATAGAACATGATCTGTGTATCCGTTATATCCACCCCCCTCACCAATTATAACCTATTCATATTACACTGCTGATAACTACTGAAATGAAATGAGGTTCAACGTCCTCCTTTTCTGCACCGACAGGATGATGAAGACAGGCATACATCATATGATGGGGGGGGGGGAGATTTTGCTTGGACTGGGGCGCTACGGCCTACTCTTATTTTGAATCCCAGCTACCAAGGGTTATTTTACGTGCACACCACCAACGTGTACACGGGAACCCTGGTTTCCGACCCATCCTTCCGATCAGACACTGGACCCACGCTTTGTCGATCCACGCCTTGCCGATCTGACAAGACACTGAACATTCTCGAGAAACTTTCCCGGCCAACACAGAGATCTTTGTGAGCAGAAGTGATCTCAGAAAATACGAATTGCTGCGCTCGGCGATGCTACAGTTTTGTTTTCTCTATCACATTACACGGCGAGACTAATTAATAAATCGAGAAAATAATTAATTCAATAATAATAACAGACTAATATGGTGATGTCCTATAGGGTCATTCGGATAGGACGAAAAACTGAGGTCCCGTATACATAAAAGAAACCCTTGATATTTGGAATTCCCCTTCTACTTTTCTTCATCAACCAGGCTAATGAAGAAGGACACACGTCATCTAGGTACATTTTGCCCGGGCAGCGGCGCTACAGTCTACTTTTATTTCTAATCCCAACTCCCCGTCACAATAAACGAACAACTAGTGGAAATGAAATGAAGTTTAACGTCTTACATTCTGCACCGACTGGGCTAATGAAGACAGGCAACTTGAGGAGCTAATTAATAAATCGACAAATTATTTAATTGTACACTGAAAACAGACATAGGCCATTCAAGGACTACAGTCTTATCTCTAAATCCAACTCTCCGTCACATTAAGCGTCAACTATTGGAGCTATTTAATAAATGGAGAAGGTAATTAAAGGGGCATTATGGGAGATTAGATAAACAGCTGATAGTTCTCGTTATAATAGTTGAAGAATAGACAACGTAAAGAGAATATGCTGAAAATTTCAGTCAAATTGCTCAACACTGAACCAAGGTACGATAAAAAACAAAGTCTCGATTATCCATTTTGACATTAAATCATCCATCACAAAATGTATACAAATCCAGTAAACATAGCAGGCTAGCGATGGCATCGAGATTTGATTATTGTCTGGATCAGTTAATTAATGTATAATTAATAATTTAGATAACATTCCAGGCCTAAAGAAAGACTTAAAATAGGCAGATTTAATTGTACAGACTGGTACTAGTTTATACTGACTTTTATCTGTCTACCGTTATTATACTTATATCCTTCCTGAAAGGATGTTGATTGTTTATATCTTTAATTGTATGTAGTGGTAGTAACTAATAAATTTATATATATATGATATATAAACTTTGACCTGTAGATCATTAAATAGGTTTCGGTGACAGGGGCAATAAACGGTTGTGGCTGAAGTGTTGGCTCCTCTTTAAATACAATCTTCATAAAAGGCTTTTTTGGGCTGACAAACAGCAGTTGTTTAACATCCATCGATCAGAGATAGAGAGAGATAGAGAGAGAGAGAGAGAGAGAGTTTATATCTTGACTTGTATGTACCGGTAGTGATTAATAAACGTATATATCATATATACAACAACACGATTTAATTATACAATCTAATACGAGATTCATATAGGATTTCCGAAAGGGAGTGTTTGTGAACTCCATAATGAAATGGGGCTAAACGTCCTATTGCTCTGCACCGACTGGGCTAATGGCGCCGAGAATATGCCACAGTGTGCTATTAGCGTGGGGGGGGGGGGGTGGCCGAACGGTTAGCACGTGCGCGCTGTATCATAAAGCCTATAATTGAGTCAACTGGCATGGTTTCGAATCCCCGGTTGTACGTGACAAGAAGTAGGTTCGCCTGTCCAATCACGTGGGTTTTCTCTGGGACCCCGGTTTCCTCCCACTGCTAAAAAAACCCTACGCGCAAGCGAATTATTAAAATAAAATTAAACCATATGTTAGTCCCGAAATAACCTAGTTTGTGTCGAGTGGACGTTAAACCCCATTTCACTCTCTCTCGCTATTAGCGTGATTTTGCCCGGACAGCGGCACTATGGCCTACTCTTATTTCGAATTACAATTCTGAACGGTTCTGTTACGTGAACGCCAATGTGTACACGGAACCTCGGTTTTTCGTCCCATCCAAACGACTACACGTTGCCCCTTGCCATGCCCTCAGTCATGCAACACTGACGAAGTGAAATCCCCTGGCGGTAGGGAGGGATGAAACATGGACTCATCCAAGGCAGTGTATAGTTTAACTCTAGACGGTTCCTGTAAATGTGATATACATCACAAGGGTCTAATTAATAAATACAAACTAAACCTCATACGAGATTCGTGTAGGTTTTCCGACAGAGGACAAGGGAAGTTTGGGGAACACTTATGTAATACGAATGTATATATAAACAAATTTACATTTAGTTTTTAAACTTTTGTATTGTAATTTCTAATTTACTCTAGTCGGTGCCCGGTTTTACTCTAGACGGTGCCTGGTTTTACTCTAGATGGTGCCTAGTTTTACTCTAGACAGTGCCTGGTTTTACTCTAGATGGTGCCTAGTTTTACTCTAGACGGTGCCTGGTTTTATTCTAAACGGTTCCTGGTTTTACTCTAGACATTGGGGGGTCATGGTGGCTACGTGGGTGAGACGCTGGCTCGCTAGCCTGGAGGTCGGGTGTTCGATTCCTGTATTGGCTGAGAAAGTTCACTCAGATTTTCCGGCGTGGTTCCCCCTTGTCAGTGTTACAGGAAGGAGGGCCTGACAAGGACAGCTGTCTAGTCATTCGGATGAAACGAAAAAACCGAGGTCCCGTGTACACACTGGCGGGCACGTAAAAGATCCCTTGACAGTTGGAATTCGATATAGTGCCGCTGTCCGGGCAAAATTTCCCTCATTGCACACTGTATCTGTATGGCGTATGCCCGTCTTCATTACCCCAGTTCGGAGCAAAACAGTAGGACGTCAAACCCCATTTCATTTCATTTATTTACTCTAGACATTATTGCGGTATAGATCATATCGAAGTTCGAAATTGTTTTTATTTTGGCGCAAAGATTAAACGAGACAGAGCATCGCTACATGTACACCCTGGACACGTTTAGCGACCAATATACTATTGAGAAGAATAAAATAAAAGAAATATTAATATAGAGAACCTACCTGATTGATCTGATACACTGTCGTCTTGCTGCCTAGTAACAAATATAATAAAACACATTTAGTTTTGATGCCTAGTAACGATACAATAAAACCAGCATATTTACATACTTGTTGCCTAGTAACAAATATCGTAATAAACCGACCCACACATATTTATTATTGTTGCCTAGTAACAGATATAATAAACCAAAACATTTATACGTGTTGTCTAGTAACATATATAATAAACCAACACGTGTTTATTTTCGTTGCCTAGTAACAGATATAATAAACCAACAAATATTTATTATTGTTTCCTAGTAACAGATTTAATAAACCAACACATATTTATTATTGTTGCCTAGTAACAGATATAATAAACCAACACAGTTGTATTATTGTTGCCTGGTAACACATATAATAAACCACCACATGTTTATACTCGTTGCATTGTAACAGATATAATAAACCTACACAGGTTTGTTCTCGTTGCGTAATAACAGATATAATAAACCAAAACATTTACACTTGTTGCCTAGTAACGGATATAATAAATCAACACACTTTTATTATTGTTGCCTAGTAACGCATATAATAAACCGCCACATCTTTATTCTCGTTTCCTAGTAACAGATATAACAAACCAAGACATTTTTATTATTGTTACCCAGTAACACATATAATAAACCAACACCTTTTTTATACATGTTTCCTAGTAACATAATATAATAAACCAACAGTTTTTCACATTTGTTGCGTGGTAACAAATAATAATATACCAAGGAGTGTTAATTACAACATTATATACTAATAACTTTCTCTTACTCTAATTAAATGGTATTTTCAACTCGTCAACTAGTAGTTACCGTACTCACGACGTGATGTGAACTTATTTGCGTGACATACTTAATAGACAAGGGGCCTTATGATCTACAGCGCAAGCTTAGACAACTAGGCGCCGTAACCCCTAACCAACAAAATGTCTTAAATAATTCTATGTGTTCTATGTTAGGCCTACTTACTTTCTATGCTCGCTGCTCACTTCTACAACATTTAAATAACTCAAACTCTCTAAAAAAAAAAATAATTACTAATAATATTACAGATAAATAATACGATTCTCTAAAATATAAATACTAATTATTACAGTTAAATAATACGATCTCTCTAAAATATAATTACTAATTATGACAGTTAAATAATACGGACTCTCTGAAAATATAAATATCATTTATTACAGCTAAATAATACGATCTCACTAAAAATATAAATATTAATTATTACAGTTAAATGATACGATCTCACTATAAATATAAATTATTACAGTTAAATGATATGATCTCACTATATATGATCTCTCTAAAAATATAAATACTAATTCATACAGCTAAACAATACGAACCCTCTAAAATATAAGTAATTATTATTACAATTAGATAATACGATATCTCTAAAAATATAAATAATAATTAATATAGCTAAATAAAGAAAACTCTCTTAAATATAAATATAGATTAATACAGTCAGTTAAATAACACGATCTCTCTAAAACATCAGTTACATAATACTACATCTCTAAAATATAAATTCTAATTGTTACAGTTACATAATACGATCTTCTCATATATCAATACTAATCAATACAGCTAAATAATACGTTCTCTCTAAAATATAAACACTAATTAATACAGCTAAATAATACGATCTCTCTAAAATATCAGTACTGATTAATAGATCGAAATAATACGATTTCTCTAAAATATAAATACTAATTATAACAGATAATAAATGAAATGAAATGGATAACAACTGAGGTAATGAAGAGGATCAGATATCATACATTGTGCTTATTGTGCTATCAGGGAAAGAGTTAAGTTTCCACCTATTTTTCAGTGAATTCCAACTGCCGAGGGTTCTTTTAATTACACGACATCGTGTACGTTTATCACATATTAACAATACTTTATTGAGCACAGGTGATGCAGAATAATATTAATCTGTCACCAGAAATTATTCAATAATTAATCCTGTTGGATTCTATCCAAGACCCTAAACATGGTAGATCTTGCCAAAGGTCAGGGAATGGGTTGATCTAATTAAATGTCTAGAAAAATGACCCTTCAATGCACATCATTTCGGTACTAACATATGGTTCATGGGAAGACGCGGAAACGCCCACGGGGTTGGACAGGCGACGCTACCACACTTGTCACGTACAAGCAGGGAATCCCAACCATGCTACTTGACTCAATGACAGACCTTATGGTTTAAACCATTCGGTCACCCAACCCCCATTATATTTTATAATAAATGTACTTACTTTCTGGTAGTTGTAATTCATCTCTGCTGATAAGATTAAGATTGATATATTCTGGCTCCTCTTCAAAAGCAGAATCAAAGAGATTAATTGCTGTTTCAACCTCGTCTTTTCTGTAATTAAAATTATATATTCAGTGTAATAATAAAACGAAAGGACACTTTTAAAAACTATATAAGCACCATAATAATAAAACAATATAAGCGCCGCAGTAAGAAAACTGCACTGCAATAAGAAAACTATATAAACACCGCATTAATTAATAAAACTATATAAGCACCGCAATAAGAAAACTATATAAGCACCGCATTAATACAACTTTATAAACACCGGAATAATCAAACTACTATATAAGCACCGCAATAATAAAACTATACAAGCACCGCAATAAAGTATGAGATAATGATTTAAAAAAGTAAAAGGAGTCAAGATGGTGTGATGCGAAATTTCAGTTTGGTTCCCCCTAGTCAGGGAGGGGGATGTTTAACGCGTGTGCGTTGCATTTTAAGGTCTGTCATTGAGTCAAGTGGCGTGGTTTCGATTACCCACTCGTACGTGACAAGGAGTAGGGTCGCCTGTCCAACTTCGTGGGATTTCTCCGGGTCCTCCGGTTTCCTCTCACTACAAAAGACCACAGGCGCCTGTACCGTGGAACTAATTCACAAAAAACACCAAACTATGACTAAGTATATGACTAAAGTCTGTTACGTCCATGTCGGTAAGCGAGGTTATCCAATAACTGGTCTGATTCCAATTTCCAACTCCGAGGCAAATAACTCGTCTGAAACCGATTCTCTTTCAGATACCTACTGAGACAATTCTACTTGGGAGAAGGGATTGTTCTCGGATCACATTTGTGATAATAGTACGCTTACTGTTGTCGTTCGAATTTGGCCGTATCATAGTCTCTCTGTACGTCTAATAACTGGAACACTCTCTTTTGATTTCTACCAATTAAATTACCAAACACTTCTACATGGGACATATTTCTCTCTCTCTTGGAATATTTTATAACCATTTTCCTCCGTACACCAAATCCTCGAATCACTAAATGGTTTAAATTAAAATAAATAATAATTCAACATTTAATTGGTAAATTGATCAAAACCTAAAAAATAATAACATTATACGCAGGGCCGGATTCAGAAGAAGAGAGGCCCTAGGCTATTCCATCTATGAGCCCCCCCCCCCACCCAAACTCTCACGAATAGATGAAAGGGATTTTTTAACAGAATTGAGCAAGCAAAGTCGAGCATGATGAAAGGATTATCACAATGAATGGAACTATGAGAGAAATTTTGCCAATATGTACACGGGACCTCGGTTTTCCATTCCATCCGAAGGACTAGACCGCTGTCCTTGTCAGGCTCTCCGTCCTGCACCACTGACAAGAAGAAAATCACCGGAAAATCTCGATGATCTTTCTAGACCTCCAAGCTGGTGAGCCAGCGTCTTACTCACTTAGCCACCATGGCTTTCATGGCTTATGACAGTCTCGAAAATATCATACACCTTGCAATTGGCCCGTTGGATCTTGAGGCCCTAGACTTCAGCCTGTCAAGCCTATAGGTAAATCCTAGATCTCGAGGCCCTGGGCTTCAGTTTGTCAAGCCGGCACTAATTATAGGTGGCTACTGGTTGCCATGGGGACATAAAATATTCAAAAATTGATGTATGTACTTTTCACGGAAAGCTGGCCATATCCGAGCTCAAAGATTCAATTCACGTTTGGAATTCGAAAATGAGCAGGCGAAGACGCGGTTGCACAATTTCCCCAGTAATTGTTGACAAAAATAACCGACGTATTGTATTTCAGCAGACGCTAAACCCGATTCTATTCCACAAACCTTTGATTCGTTTTTAAGAATACTATCATCTGTGATTTGTTCTTTTTATGGAATAATAACAAAATAGTAATTCGGTTGATTCTGTATATTCACGGTTGTTCACCCGACGCAGACTGACCATGCAACGTAAATACCACAGAGTAAATGCCTTAATGATTGTAAGGGAAGCAACTCTGTTTTGGGATCCTTTTTGACTCGTGTTCGCACATTACTATTTTAATGTAGATTTTAATTCCTTAGCTATGTCCATTAGATTCTTATTGAAAACAAACCCCAACCCTGCCATGGTTCGTAACGTAACTGGGGTTGGAATTTACAAGACTATACCCTTGAGCTATTAAATTTAAATATATTTATCTGGTTCACATTTTATCATCCGGACTGTTTCATTGACTGTTTGGTTGATTTATTGATTAATGGTATTTCGTATGGGCAAATATGTTAAAAAGAACTAAACTACCAGTATATTTAGTAGCTTTAATTTAGAACTAGAATACAAACCTGATTGCGCCTTGACAATCATACGTAAAAAGTAACTTTCAGCAGTATCTAGTCGTCCAGTCTGACCATGATGTAAGAAAACCTTCGTCTTCCCAATCTGTTAACATGAAAAACAGTATAATCCTTCATTGTCATTTAGCGATCAGTCAGATTAAAATACTGATTTACATGTCGTTTCGTTTTTTTATACTTTCGATGGCCTACACTTCACGAAGATCCGATCACTTGTACATGTAGTGGGATTTCGCGTCAGAGGTCATACGAGCGGCTTTTGACCGTATGACGTCAGACATTCGCTTAACCAATCGGCGTTGATGTTTCTAGTGCACTACCCACAGTTCCGTGCACCTCACGCCAAAAAACCCAGACCGTTTCGTTGTCTAATCCCTCACATCATCCAGAACGCGGGTTGTATAGTGTAGTGTAGTAACGATAAGTAAAAAGAAATTTTGAACTATAAAAAATGAAACGAAATAGGATCTGTGTTTTAATCAGATTGTTTAGCGATTTAAATCAACAAAATAAAACACAACGACAATTTATATGGAAATGGAGTGATATAAAATAACCTTCCTGGGTTAAAGAAGACGGGCATATATACACAAATTTACAAGTTTCTATGTTGGATTGCAATCTCCCCATAAACAGACCATCATGCCAAAGTGAGAGAGAGAGAGAGAGCATCATGCCAAAGAGAGAGAGAGAGAGAGAGAGAGAGAGAGATAGAGAGGCGCCATTGCCCCCTTTAATCCAATCCGCCCCTATTAAAACAAAATCTTACGCATGAGAGAGAGAGAGAGAGAGAGAGAGAGAGAGAGAGAGAGAGAGAGATAAAACAAAATTTGAACAAAGACAACAGTTTGACTTTATAGGTCATAAAATGATAAAAGATAATTTACCTTAAAATTTTCAATCCGCCATCTGGTTAAAATATTGCTAATTTGATCGACCTGGGTGATATTTCTTTTATTCGTCCTTGATGATACTGCATTTAAACATTTATATCTGATAAAATATAAAACAACTCCATTTAAACATTCACATCTCATAAAGGATAAACAACTCCATCTATATCTGATTAAATGTAAAACAACTCCATTTAAATACATATTTCTGATAAAAGATAAACCACTCAATTTAAACAGCTATACCTAATGAAATATAAAACAACTCCATTTAAACACCTATATCTGAAAAAAAACGTAAACAACTCTTTTTTGTTAACATCTGTATCTGATAAAACATAAACAACTCCATTCAAAAATCTATTATCGTAGCAACTGTACTTGACAATCGAGACTAAGTCTAGATCATCCATTTTTAAATTAAATTATTAAAAGGCGATCGTATTTCAGTCCATTTAAATCTCGACCACTCGTGATCTGTACTTGATGAAATATAAAACAACTCCATTTAAACATCTATATCTGATAAAACGTAATCAACTCTATATCTGATAAAACATAAACAACTCCATTTTAGCATCTATATCTGATAAAACATAAACAACTTTATTTAAACAGCTATAGCTGATAAAACAACTCCATTTAAACGGCTATATCTCATCAAACGAAAACAATTCAATTTTAACATCCGATAAAACGTAAACAATCCCATTTAAACATCTATATATATGATTAAACACAAACAACATCATTTATATATGATAAAACATAAACAGCTGGATTTAAACATTGTTGTTATGTCTACATATAATTGCCCTAAACAAGTGATACTATATTGAAAATGTGGAAAGAAATGAAATAAAATGGGGTTTAACGTCCTACTGTTCTGCTCCTATGCTGGGCTAATGAAGACGGGTATACGCCATACAGTGTGCTATGAGGGAAATTTTGCCCGGGCAGCGGCACTATCGCCTACTCTTATATCGAATTCCAACTGCCAAGAGATCTTTTACGTGCATTCCAGTGTATACACGGGACCTCGGTTTTTCGTCTCATCCGAAGGACTAGACAGCTGTCCTTGTCAGGCCCTCCGTCCTGCTGCATCACTGACAAGGGATGAACTTTCTCGGCCAATGCAGGGATCGAACACCCGACCTCCAGGCTAGCGAGCCAGCGCCTTACCCACTTAGCCACATGATCCCCAAACGTGGAAAGAATAGTCATTGAAACGTCGATGAAATAAATAAGTAGATGTATTTTTTCATACGTATGTGTTATAGTTTATTGCTCTGTCGAGTTACTAAATGCCCCCAAAGTATTATAAAGTATTTATTACCTGTCAAGAAAATCAATGAATCGAATCCTGTGAGCGTAGCCATTTTTTCTAATCCTGACCGTTTCTATCACACCCGTGTAGCGAAGCTGCGCTTGAATATAATCTCTGACAAACACTGATGGCTTCTTTTCGCTGTTGGGTTTAAAACATCTCACGAAATGTGTCTGACAATAACTTATCTTCGTCATCATATCTTTTAATGAATTCTGTGTTTTAAAATGAAATACAAGGTAAACAATACGACACCGTTTTTAATTATAATTAACGTGCATGTCTTTATCGTCACCCATTCACGTGGGTTTTATCCAAGTGGTAAAGATCCCTACGCGCAACCGAATTATTGAAAGAGAATCGAACTATATGTGAGTCCCGAAATGACCTAGTTTGTGTCGAGTGGATGTTTAACCCCATTTTTCTCTCTCTTCATACAATATGCTACGATTATTTCTAATTCCAACTATCAAGGGCTATTTTTCGTCCATTCCAATGTATACACGGGGATCCGTCTTTTTGTGCCACCCAAACGACTAGACATTGTTCTTATCGGACCCTTCGTCCCGAGGCGTCCTGCACCACTAACAAGGGGAAGCTGCGCCGGAAATTACCGAGGGACTTTCTCGGCAAACACTGGCGAAGAACTATGATCTCCTGATTAGCCAGCAAATTCTTACTCACTGAGCCACCGCGGCAATCTGATTAAAACGCAAATCCCATTTTGTTTCGTTTTTTTATAGTTCAAATTTTCGTTTAACTTGTCTTTAATACACTAGTTGTTATATAACCCGTGTTCTGATTGATGTGAGGGTTTAGCCAATGAAACGGTCTGTTACGACGAGTTTTTGTCGTGAGGTACACCGAACCGTGGGTAACCCACTAGAAACAGCAACGCTGATTAGTTAATCAAATATCTGACGTCATAGGGTCAAAAGTCACCCGTATGACCGCTGACTTTCACTGCAACCGGTCAGATTTTCGTTTAGTGCAGGCCATCGGAAGTTTAATAAAAGGAAACGAAACGAAATATAAATCTGTATTTTAATCAGATTGCCTCCGCGGCTTTCACATACTCTGAAAACGTCCATGTTGATTATGATAAAGCAAATGTCCAGTTTGATTAATGGCAAAAATAATTTATTTTATAGAAATATATGACGTCACTCACCCTGAAATGATAAGACATTGTGGCTGGTGGTCTTCTGGTGACATGTTTGTTTGGTTGACCGATTCTACTTCTACGGACCTATAAAAAAATATTAAAGAGGGAGCAAAATATGAATACTTATTTCATTATGCGAATTTTAGACTAAAATAACTTAAAGATACATTATGTAAGATTTAGATAAATAGCTGATCGTCCTTGCTACAAATAGCCAAAAATAGATAATGAGAAAGCCATTTTTATTTCAGTCGAATTAGTCCTTTAAGAGCGGAGTTATCAGGTTTTGAAGTATTCACAAACTAATGTCAAGTACAATTGTAACGATAATAAAGGAAGTCTTGATTATCCATTTTAAAATTTAAAGATACAGAGCTGGCAGTTCGTACTATAATAGTTAAAAATTTGATAATGTAAAGGGAATTTGATGAAAATTCCAGTCAAATTGATCCACTCTGAACCAAGAATTTAGCATTGAATTTTCGGCCTAGCCTCGATCATCATTACTAAAGTCGGTACGATAAAAAACATAGTCTCGATAATCCAGTAAAATATTGCAGGCTAGCGATGACATCGAGAGTTGATTATGGTCTGGATAAGTTATTTAATGTCTAATTAATAATTTAGATAACATTTACTGTAGATCCACGATAGAGAGAGATATGGGGTTTAATGTCCACTCAACACAAACTAGCTTATTTCGGGACAAACATATGGTTCAATTTTATTCTAATAATTAGCTGTAGAAGAATACCCGGAGAAAACCCACAGGCAACCCTATTCCTGGTCACGTACAAGCGTGGAATAGAAACCACGCCAGTTGCCTCAATGACAGACCTACTGATCCAACGCGTACGCGTTAACCATTCTACCCACTCCCACCCCCCGCCACTGGATCCAAATATGAGCCCCAGATCACCATCGACATCCTACATCCACCAATGGTTACCCACAAAGATCATATCGCACCTGTTTATTGAATTTCATCTTCGTGAAGACATTAGACTGTTTATTACTTTTCTTCATGGAGACTTGACGATTACTAGTTGTTAGGGAACCCATTTTACTCATTCTTGTTTGGAATAAATCTTTAAATAATAAGTTACTGCTGGCTAATTAAAAAAAAAAAAAGAAAAAAAAGTTCATTAAGCAAGCATTTAAATACATATGTATGGGGTGTTACTAGTGACACGGGCGTCAGGGCTAGCTATCAAACCAAATTAAACACACTAAAAGAAATGGAATGGGGTTTAACGTTCCACTGTTCTGCTCGAATTTCAAAAAGATTCTTCCTTAAATCTGATCGAAGTTTTGATAAGTCCACCGAGAAGCCTGTCTTGTGCTGCGTTCACAAGATTCATTAAGGAATTAAACGGGGAAAAGAAGTGAAGATTTGCGTAATTGTCCTTACGCAGTGATAAACAATGTCAGCAATTTTCTTTTAAGTTTTAAAAGTCAAACAGAGAAGGGGATACGCACCGACAGACACAAGCTGTTCCTTCTTTGACGAATTTATGATCCACCTGAGACATATGAATCCTCCCGAGACATATGATACGACGCAGGCATATTATGATCCGTCGGAGACATATTGCCCCTCCTCCCCGAGATACATGACCCGTCTGAGACATATGATCCGTCGGAGACATATGCCCCCCCCCCCACCTTGAGGCTCTAGGATTCAGACTGCTAAACCACAGGTAAATTCAACACTGGATGCTTCCACCCTGCACCACTTACAGGAGGCGACGCCACCATCAGGCAAAAGTGATGACAAATATGAATGTATTAAGACATAACGAGAGGAAATAAAAACAGCGTCTCCACTTAAAGATACATTATGTAAGATTTAGATAATGAGTTGACCTTTCTTGCTATATAATAGTTCAAAAGTAGATAATAAAAAAAAAAAATACATTCTGAGCGAAGATATCAGTGTTTGAAGATGTAGCGTAAATTGTTTATTATCGTAGCGACGATACTTTACAATCGAGATTTAGTCTCGATTATCCATTTTTAAATCAAATTATTAAAAGGCGATCGTATTTCTATCCATTTAAATCTCGACCACCCGGTGATCTAGGGAGTTGATTATAGGCATGTCATGTTAATAAATATCCAAATAATAATCTATATAACATTTGAAGCCAAAATAAAGACCTGCAGTAGCTAGATTTAGCTCTTACATAATGCATCTTTAATCTAACAGTTATTACTCCCGATTATGAACAGACGGGTAAAAAAACAGGATATTTACATCTCATGGTGGAAGATAAATGATGACGTAATTTATCTCTGTTTTTATCCAGGATTCCAGTCAGAGTGTAGGTTATCGCCCCTGCATAATGTACAGCCGTAAACGTCACGCCACCATCACGTGGTTCTTTGTAAATCCTCTTATACTTCTTACCTTTAAAGAGAAAGAGAGAGAGAGAAATGGGGTTTAACGTCCACTCGACACAAACCGGTTCATTTCGGGATGAACTTTCTCGACCAACACCGGGAGCGAACCCGCAACCCCCAGACTAGCGAGCCAGCGTCTTACGCACTTAGCCAATTAAACAGAGAAAAATTATATTAGCTGTATAAGTCGGGAGAACCGTCGTCGAAACCTTGCCAGAAATAAACTTGTAATAGTAAGTACGACACGCAAATAAAACCAATAAGACGAACTACACAGATATTGAAAGACATAAACAGCAAATATCAATTCAAGTGAATGGATCCTGTTGTATTCCACATAATTGTGTCATGTGTTAATCGTACGACGTATTTATTGGACCAGGGACTGGTCGCTAACCGCTACTTATCTTGTTCTTGTTGTTGGGGTGACGCTCTTCGAAAAAGCCCACGGCTCCGTCAATTCGAATCCGATCGACATGAAAATCGGCATGCTTCTTCTTTAAACATTCTACATCGATGTGGTGAATTAGATTTTTGAATTTCATCCGACAACATGGTCAGTTCCTGGACTTGTTTTACCTGGTCTGTGGTGTAATTTGGTTGCTATAATGTTTTATTATTATAAGATTTAACAGAGAATAATTATACTATTCAATGCTTATTAATAAAATATTACCTGGTCCTTGGTGTAATTTTGTGGCTAATGTTTTATCACTAGCTTTAGGGAAACCACATTCTTCATCTAATAAAGCTAATACACCACACCCTTTCTGTCAAAATATATAAATGAGTTGAAATGAAATGAGGTTTAACGTCCCACTGTTCTTCTCCGACTGGGCTAATGAAGACGGGCATACGCCATACAATGTGCTATGAGGGAATTCAACTGCCAAGGGATCTTTTATCGGCACACCAATGTGGACCTCGGTTCTTCGTCCTGCACCACTGGCAAGGGAAAACCACACCGGAAAGTCCCAATGAACTTCCTCGGCCAACACCGGGGGCGATAACACCGGGAGCGATCCCGCGTCCTCCAGATTAGCGAGTCAGCTTCTTACACATTTAGCCACCGTGGCCCCAAAAATATACAAGTGTTCGGTTAATTGATAAAATATCTTCTACAATAATATTCTCATTCTTCATATCAATCAGATACCCATCAGTTTTTGGTCCAAGAAACCGTTACATTTAATCGCCGTTGTTACATATTTTTCAAATTTTTATTTTATAATAAAAGGAACAAATTGAATAGATTAGTACCTCTAAGAATAACGATATGACCATATCTGTCCATGGAACTGTGACAGAACAAGATACAATGCCTTCAGAAACACAATCAGCTTCTTCTAGCTTAAACACGTGATCTACAAAATGCATCTGTAGTTGTTCATTAGCAACGTTTATACACATCTAAAACATAAAAGAATTGAACATTATTAGCAACCTGTATTTACATCCAAACAACACAAACCATCTGAACATTATTAGCAATGTTTATTTACATCTAAAAATAGCAGAAAACAACAGAACATTAGCAACGTCTATTTACATCTAAAACAATACAAACCAACTGAATATTAGCAAACTTTATTTATATCTAAAAAAAACACACACCAATCGAACTTTAGTAACGTTACTACACATCTAAAAAATGACAAAACAAGAGAACTTTAGCAACCTTAATACACATCTCAAAAACACAAGGCAACTGAACATTAGCAATGTTTATACATATCTAAGAATAACAGAAACAACTGCTAAAATACACTAACTGAACATTAGCCACGTCTATTTAATCTAAAATCACAAACACCTGAACATTAGCAATGTTATTACACATCTAAAAATAACAGAAACACCTGAACATTATTGGCAACGTTTATTTACATCTAAGCAACACAAACCAACTGAACATTAGCAACCTTTATTCATATCTAAAAAACACAAAACAGCTGAACATGAGCAACGTTTATTTGCTTTTGGAAAACGCAAACAACTTAATATTCGCAAAAAAATATACACCTAAACATATATCAAACAACTGAACATTAGCAGCGTAAATGCACATCTAGTACTGGTTACTACAAAATTAACAATGTTCCTGAAGCAACGACCGAGAATCTTACAACATCTAGACGCTGCTAGCTTGGTCGGCAAATCCCGAACGTATAGCCACGTTATCTCCTTTTACCGCAGACATGCGAACAGTAGCGTCCAATCAGAAGTTGTGACACAAACACATTCAAATCAAACATGGCGACCTCCAGGGAAACCTTGACATTGAACGAACCTTGAACTTTGCAACTCGATTATCACAGGTAGACATTTTAGCTTTGAAAGAGCGAGATTTGGTATTTGCGATGATCGAGGAATCTGTTAGGCCCCCAACTGGGTCGGTGGCCAATCGAAATCAGTTCCGAAATAGGCAGGGTAGTACGTGAAGGGCTTGATAAGATGTACGGAGTTAAAGCGAGATCAAACCTTCTATTAAGCTGAAATTTACCTGTTCAAAACTGTTTGTTTGTAAATTTTCAAAACCAAATAAATCAAGAATACTAATAGAAAGGTTGCTGTCCCTGAAAGAGAAAGGGAGAGATGGGGTTAAATAAAGTCCACTCTACACAAACTAGGTCATTTCGGGACTAAGATATGTTTCAGTTTTATTTCAACAATTCGCTTGTGTGTAGGGGTCTTTAGCTGTGGGAGGAAACCCACGAGGTTGGACAGGCGACCTTACTCCTTGTCACGCACAAGTGGGGAATCGAAACCACGCCACTTGACTCAATGGCAGACCATCTGATCCAACGCGCACGTGTTAACCATTCGGCCACCCGAACGTCCTGTTCCCGAAAGTGAAAATGGAATACATTGTTGACATTAATGGAGCTTTATAACATTTTAGGAGCTACGGTGGCTCAGTGAGTAACCAGGAGGTCCCGGGTTCGATCCCGGTGTTGGCTGTGAAACTGTGTCGGGATCTTTCAGTGGTGAAGGACTAGGAGGCTGACAAGTAAAAGTGTCTAGTTTTTTAGATGGGACGGAAAATCGAGTTACCGTGTTCAAACAAAAGAACGCTTAGGAGTTAAAATTCTACTAAAAGTAGGCGGAAACGCGACTGTCCTGGCAAAGCAGAAAAGTAGGACGTTAAACCCTAATTAATTTCTTTTAATTTTGATTTCACATTTGCGATAGTTGAAGTCTTTTTACTAAGACGGATGGGCCATGTTAATTTGTGGGGGTGTATACAATGAAATGTTAACGAGGTTTAACGTCCTACTTTTTTGCACCGACTGAGCTAATGAAAAAGGGGGGGGGAATGGGTGAATAAAAAATCTAGTCTTACACCGAGTCTTCATCTGGTTGAACCATCTGATTTATACCGTTAACTATCCACGAGAATAGTCGACTGTAGAGGGTTTTAGCCAAGGCATCACAGCTATCTATTGCTTGATCCACAGTTAAATAGATCTTGGTTTGTTCTCCTGGAAAAGAAGAAAGAATAAATAAGCAACGACACTCTGTGAGAAGTTGCCTGCAACATTCCAGAAAATATGTTTAATATCCTAAGGTCAGTTTTCTTTGTACACGTTTGCGTGTGCTTTTTCGCTGTTTAAATTTGCATTAGACCGACTTTTTTGACGGCGGAAAACCGCGTTCACGAAAAGCGGACCTTATTTGGACGTTACGTATAACTCAAAAGCTCGTAATAACAGGACAGAGGGCGGGACAGGGAACATCGCCTAGTCGTTTGGGTGGGACGCACAAACGAGGTCCTGTGTACCCAAGAAGTTATAATTATATCTTGTTGCGTGTACCCCATTGCGCACAGCATTCGCTAAGAAATTTAGAAATGAAATGAAATGAAATGGCGTTTAACGTCCTATTTGCCTGCACCGACAGGGCTAAGGAGGATAAAGAAATGGGGAAAGGGCAATATAATGAGCCATATCTGAGGAGCTTTCAAAATGTCAAGTGGGTGAGTGGGGTGGGGTTGTACATAATTCTTAAATGGAAGTCTTATGGAATTCTCATAAGTAATTCTTGCCAATAAAAATGATGTTTGAAGTTTATGGACAGTTTTACTGAGTAGACAGATTCTACGATAATGCATCTGTACACTCTTAGATTTAGAATATTCGACCATTTCTCAACATGTGGGGTGGGAGGGTTGGGGCAGTGGTTGCTCCACCCCTAATATTAGCGCTACTCGGTTGCGAGCCTATTCAATTTACAATTTATGTCCTTACCCGCCCATGCCTCACCCGCCAATGTCTTACACCATGTTACAATGATATCTTTTACCAACATCACATCTTACCCCATGCTATAATGGTATCTTCTACCAACGCTGACATTAAATCGTACCCCGCGTTATAATGGTATATTCAACTAACGCCGACATTAACTCTTACCCCCTGTTATAATATCTTCTACCCCGTGTTATAATGATATCTTCTACCAACGCCGACATTAAAACGTACCCCGTGTTATAATGGTATCTTCTACTATCGCCGATATTATAACTTACCCTGGGGGGTTGGATGGCTGAATGGTTAGCGTGCGCGCGCTATATCATAAAGCCTGTCATTGAGTCGACTGGCGTGGTTTCGAATCCCCGGTTGTACGTGGCAAGGAGTAGGGTCGACTGTCCAACCTCGTGGGTTTTCTCCGGGTCCTCCGGTTTCCTCCCACTGCTAAAGACCCCTACGCGCAAGCGAATTATTGAAATAAAATTAAACCATATGTTAGTCCCGAAATGACCTAGTTTGTGTCGAGTGGACGTTAAACTCCATTTCTCTCTCTCTCTATAACTTACCCCGTGTTGTAATAACATCTTCTACTAACCCCGACATCAGATCTTCAAATGGTATTCTTAATATCACCGACACTGTAAATTGAATATAATATTTTATTTACACTACATGGTTCTATTGCTCTGCAACTACTGTGCTAATGAAGACGGGCATACGCCATACCATGTGCTATCCGAGAAATTGTGCC